GGGAGCCCGATGCGGGACTCGATCCAGGGACTCCAGGATCATGACCTGAGCCGAAGGCAGTCGCTTAACCAACTGAGCCACCCAGGCACCCGATAATTGCTTCTTAATAAGAACTGTACTGGAGCTTCTGGGTTGGTGACCGTGTAGTGACTGTGGGAGAGTGACCTGCTGGGAGAGGGCGTAGAGGCTGTGCGCCCCTTCCCCATACCTGCCCTATGCGTCACTTCCATCTGGCTGCTCCTCAGTTACTAATCGCTGGTAGCTGGTATCAGGATTTTTCTTCTTTTTTTTTTAATCGTGTTGTGTTATTTTTAAGTATAAAGACTATCAGTCACATCACCTACAGACCATGTTAACCACTGCTCTGGCTGCCAGTCTCTTGTCTGTCTCCTAAGCAGTGGTGAGGCAGATACCCTTTCCCCGGGGAAGAGAAACAATGGTTCGTTGCCTTTGCCAATAACAAAAACGTTGGAGAGCCAGTGGCAAAGCTCTTGTATTGGCATCTTTCATGTGAACTACATCAGAAGAACCAGGGTGTCTTTCTCTGTGATCATACCACTTCTTCCCAGGTTAGCACCTCCGGTCACCATACACAGATTACCAGTGTCTAACTTGATGACATTAGTCATCTTTCTAGTCTCCAAATCAGTCTGAATGGTGTCCTTCACCTTGATGAGGGGATCAGGATAGCAGATGGTGTGAGCATCGTGGGTCACCAGGTGAGGGATTCCTTTTGTCCCCACAAAGATCTTCTTCATTTTGCACAACTTCTACTTGGCCTCCTCAGGTGTACTATGATGAACAGCAGTGTGACCCTTTGTGTCCTACATCAGACGGAAATTCTCCCCAGTCTTGTCAGTGCTGATGACATCCATAAAATCAACTAGGTAGATTATATCAGTTTGGACCTTGCCATCAGTCTTACTAAAACACTGCATACAGATCTTCTTGACTTCATCTCCTGTTAGGGTATGCTTAAGTCTTTTCCTTAGGAAAATGATGAGAGGGAGACATTCAGTTTATGGGGACCAGTAGATGGACGAGGAGCAAACACACCAGTCAGTTTATCCAGCATCCAGTGCTTTGGAGCCGTCACATGCTTCAGATACTTCTTGGGACCACAAGCCATGGCTGTGCTGGGCACAAAAAGCACAATTGAGTTGAATTGTAAGACACCCAATTGGTGATCAGAATTGAATTGGTACCGGAATCCTATTTCCCAAAACTAATCCATTATATAATGAAATACAGATACTTAACCTCATAATCAGCTTTTTTATTAACTAAGAATAAGGACTCATAGACTCTTTATTTCTGGCCAAGATGGAATAATAGGAACCGAATCTCCCTTCTCCCTGGAAACAACAAAAGGACAGTATAGGCAATAAAAGTGGCCCTGAAAGAAAGGAGACAAACTAGTGTTTGTGAATAATTAGACAAAATGGGAAATTCTGTCTTGTTTGCTTACCTACACAAGTCTTGTATCTTCAGATGTTATGAGCACAAGTACCTGTACTCTCCAGGCAATCTCTCTTTTATAGATGAGGAATCTGATGCCAAGGATCTTAATCAGGGACACACCGCTAAAATATGTTACAAAGATTTGAACTCAAGACCGTCAGACTCCAGTGCCCGGGCCCTAAATCACTCTATGTAGGGACCTATTAATGAGAGGTTTCGCAGGAGGCTAAAACCTACCTACCAGTGCATGACTTCTGGGCAGGCTATTAGTGCAAATCCTGGCTAACAGCTGCATTCATAGCTGCCTTCAGAGCTGGTGCAGAAGGTCTCACAGCCACTGTTGAACCATTCATTATGCTGCATTCATCAATGGCTAAGAAAAATAAAAATAATATCACCTTCAAAAAAAAAAAAAAAAAGGTCTGTATCAGTGTGAGGAGGCATATAAATTATAAATGGCTCTGAGAAGCCTAGTTATAAAATTGGATAGTTTCCATTCTTTAACAAGAATAAAATTCCCTGCTGTTTTTATGGTGTTATAATTTCTGGTTGTTCTTTATCATAATATAAAAGGAATTCTAGGTTTGTACCTGATGATTGGGAGTCTGAATTTCAGGATGATACCTCATATGGTAGAAAAATTATTAGAATGATAGGGTATGTGTCTTAGTCCTTTTGGGTTTCTGTAACAAAATACCACAGACTAGGTGGCTTGTAAACAACAGAAATTTATTTCTGAGTTCTGGGGCCTGGGAAGTCCTAAGATCAAGGTGCCAGCATGGTTGCTTTCTGGGGAGGGCCCTCCTCCTGGCTCGTAGCCTGTGCCTTCTTGTGTCCTCACATAGTGGAAGGGCAAGCAAGCTTGTGGGGTCTTTTATAATGCATTAATCCCATTCATGAACACACCCTCATGACCAAAGCACCTCCCAGAGGCCCCACCTCTAATACCATTGTATTTGGGGGGTTAGGATTTCAACATCTGAATTTGGGGCAGGGGGGTACAAATTTTCAGACCATAGCAATATGATACGGAGTTGGTGTGATACTTCTCTCCCTCTGATTTATTTGTATCAGCTGGTGAAAACTCAAAGTGATGAACTTTAAAGTAATTGTTTTTCTAGCATTTAGCTCCTTTAGAGTTTATTTTTAGGAACTTGTACAACATTAATGTTACTTGAATGACCTTTTATATTTTCAGTGTGAAAATGTATCAGGATTTTCATCCTTAGTATAGACGTGTTAGGAACTTATTATTTGTCAGATTGATTTTAAGTTTTGAGATTGGGAAAGAACAACCATGAACAATTCTGATCCTAATTGAAAGTGGGAGAGAAGACTCATATATAAATTTCAAACAGACTGCTAGAACTTTTCTGATAAGGAATGGTCTAAGCCTTGACAGCACAACTTTGTCTTTTCTGAAGAAGAGAATGTTCTGGGATAGTGGACTGTCTGGCTTTCTGCCCACCTACTGAATGTCCCGCAGGCTAGCATGATAATCGCCGTGGGGCCTGCCCCAATGCCCAAGGTACCAAATAGCTTGGCAGTCCTCCCAGCAGATGTTATTGCAGTGAGTAAATGATTAGTTTAAGGGTAGTGTTTTGTTAGTCTGCTTTTAAAGGAAATCAGGTAAAGACACAGAAAAGTTCCCAATTATCTGAGCATTCATAGTATACTCTGGCTAGAACCAGCCTCTGTCTTTTTAAACTCCTTTTCCTCATAAAGAACTAGATGCTAATTTCCAAGGAGGAAGGATTAAAGGCTGAGGCGTAAGCTTATTAAACTTTGCCAAATGTATGAAGGCTTATAAAGAAAATGAAAACTTGTCAGTTTTGATTCCTTGGATGACTAAACAAGACAATATAGACTTTAATTGAAGCAGAATAGATTTAGGTTAGATGTAAGGGGAGAACTTGACAGATTCATTCTTCTATGAATTAGGCAGCAAATATTTTGACAAAATTAGTTTATGTTTATGATTATGGATAGCAGTATGTCATTTCAATTCAACTGTATATCCAGCAACAACCCTGTGAGGGAGATGGAGTTACCCCCCCTCCTAGGGAAGCGAAGGCAGAACATTTTGAGAAATTTGCCCAAGGACTCACAGCAGATATAAATGGTAGATCCAGGGTTTAAACCCAGTCTTTTCAACTTCAGGCTCCCAATTTTTTCTATGACATGGAGCCAAATTAATCTTCCTATTATTACTGTTTTTTTAATTGGGGAGTACTATAAGGCATTATAGGAACTGTGAAAACCTTACTGCCCAGCATCCAATCTCTGATCTTTCATCCAGGCAATTAGTACTTTTTTAAAGATTTTATTTTTATTTATTTAGAGAGAGTACGTGTGGGTGTGTGTGCATGCGCACACACGCACATTAGTTGGGGGAGTGGTAGAGGGGAAGGGATAGGGAGAGAATCTTGAACAGACTCTGGGCTGAGCACGGCGCCCAAAGCAGGGCTCGATCTCTGACCCTGAGATCATGACCTGAGCTGAAACCCAGGAGTTGAATGCTCAACTGACTGAGGCATCTAGGCGCCCCAGGCAATTAGTACTTTCGGTTTTGTTTCAGAGAGCTGTACTGTTATGTTATTTTCAATAATGAAATTTTGGTTATAGTTTTCATTCTATTACCATACTAGAAAATCCATATTTGGGTATTAAGCCATCTCTGGAAAGTACACGATTTGATGTGTATTTACTCCTCTAGCCCAGACTGCCTTTTCTTCCTTGGTCTGCTCAGTTCTTGTTGCTTTTTTCTCTGGAGTCCAGCTCTCAGTCTGGTCTTGCTCATCTCCTGCAAGAATGTTCATTAACTGGGTGAAGACATTGAGTGTTTTCCATGTTTTGTTCCTAGTTTTGTTTTTTGATTTGGATATTTCACATTGGGGGAAAAATAACCTTGTGGGGTACCAAAGATGCCATTGATCAGCTGGTGAGCCTTCCCTTGATTACCTTCCCATTTTCTCTAGGTGTCTCTGGCCTCTGGGATCAAGGAACTGAGTTTGCCAATCTCTTCCATTCCCATGTCAGAGGAATAGTAAAAGGAGAGAAAGGAGAGTGCTTGTGGTCTGATACGTATTTTTATTTAAAAATGGTGATGGTTTAGTTTTCTGCTACAACCCATTTTTCTCTTACAGTGAAAACAAAAGTCCTCTTTGTGGAACAGAAGAAAATACGTTCCCTCTAAACAATGGATTGAAAACGAGTTTGATTTATAAATGAGAATACTGAGGGTGGGATACTGATTCAGAAATTCTGCAGCATGTAATAAAAGAAGAGGAAATGGCACGGAATCACTGCCTCCTGTGATTTGAAGGCCATTGTGAAGAAAAACAATGTACTGAAAGAAAGTTCTTCATATTAGGACATATATCATTGCATCACATTTATTTATCTCTCTGGATATTTTTATAGCCCTTAATAAAAAATATTAAAATAGCCTGTGCTATTGTCTCTTGGTGATGTTTCCCCCCCCACTCTTTGAAATAAAAAGCAACTACATTACTGAAGAATAACCATTGTTCATATAAAAGAAAGTTTCCATAATGAAACTTGTGCAAGACTTTCCAGTCTGCTCCTCTTTGTACCTCATAGGAAAGGCAGAGTCACTCTCCGGAGTGATCTTGAAAAAACTCCCATGTAATAACAGAGAGGGTAACGGTGAACAGGAATAAGGGGGCCAGCCTTGTAACACAAAAAAAAAACCACGAGAACTTCTGATTTGTGCTTATATAATTAGAAAAAATGCCATTGGTCCATATTCTCAAACTCCGGTCACTGAGTAGATACTGAAGCAGCATCTAGGAGTTTCTAGGAATGCTTTGGACTCCCTTTATCTTCTAGATTTCCTTTTTTTTGTTGTTTTTTTTTTAAAGAAGAGCTATAGTGTATTTCCATAGAGCCACGGCTAGGGCTTTGGGGCATGGTACCACACAGCCAACCAGTGGAAATTCCACTAATAATCCCTAATGTTCAGGTAAGGTAAGACTGCCTTACCCAGATCCATATACTTTCTCACTCAAGCTATTGTTTCCTACAGATCTTCAGAAATACTCTGTTTTCTCCTTATCACATTTCTGACTGAATGTAAGAAGGGTCAGCTTTTATTTTGAGTTCTGCTGGTTCATATCCTACACCATTTAAAGCATTTATGTAGAAGAATGATGGTGTGCCTACTATGGCCTCAAGAAGGATGAAACCAATGTTTCAAGGTAACAGGTGTTCCCTCTCCATGGCCCAGCCTGTCTATGGAGGACATGCAAGCGTAGCTTTCTGAAATTGGAATTAGATGTAGACAGTTGCTGAGTTTAGGGGGCTTGTGGCATTAGAGTTGATCAGCTATTTTCTGGCATCTTTTGTTAAACAGCTTTGGTTCAAAGCAATAATAGGTGAGATCTTGGCTATTTTTTGGTTGAAACTATGCATAGTGGTTTTGGGTTACAAGAAAAATCCTTCACCTGGTCCTAGCTAAGCCTGCTATAAAGGGTCTGTGACATAAATGAATCGCCGTTAAAAAAAAGCAAAACAACAACTTAAAATCTGGCTTAACAAATGACTTGTCTGTTCAGCACATGAGCTGAATGTGGCCCACAGGTGGTGGTTACATTTTTCAAAAATCAATTGCTGATACTTAAACATTGAAAAAATTTCAGTAAACATCCAAACTTCTGGCTTCTCTCGCAAAACAGAAGCTTTGACAACACCAATGCCGAGTATCAACTGTCTCTCTTAGGAACTGCTTGAACAGTCCAATTCATGTGACCCTTCCTTATTTAACATTCTCTGCTCGGACTCTAGACATTGTTTGTCCACAAGCCCTGCCCTGTGGTGGACATACAGCATTCATGATCTGTTGGCAAGTGAGTTTGCTGGTTCCTCATCGTGGTAATGTTTGTACAGGTCCTGGTCATGGAATCCTTCATTTTGGTTGGCTCTTGCAAATACGTGAAAAGCGAAGAAATCATTATTATAAGAGAGTAAAGGCTGAGGATGACTTCACAAATGAACATATTTGCGAAAAAAGGAAAGAGGATATTTTATAGTAAGCGGCTAGCTAAGAGAGGCCACCTCCCTCCCCCAAGTACATTTTATTTCCAGGTACATTTATTTTAGGGTTAGTAGCAATCAAAACAGATCAAGTGGCAGGTCTTTTTTGTACGGATAAGAAGACTGTGTTCCTGCAGCCCGGACACTGACCGCCGCGATGAAATTGGATCTCTTGAGCATTTCTTCCAAGGACAGACTTGGGTAGTAAGCCAGGTAGAAGGCCAAAGCCCCCACAAAACTGTCACCAGCGCCCTGTAATTAAAAGCACAGTTGTGGAGATAAGCATGTAATCACCTGGTGCCCAGACTGTATTTTAGAAATATTTAAGTACACCTTTTATTTTAGAAGAATTTTAGATTTACATAAAAAGTAAAAGGATAGTACACAGGTTTCCATATACCCCACATCCAGTTTTGGTAACGTCTGGAAACCTCCGGTAATGAATGAAGTGGTAGTGATATTAGTTGAACTCCGTACTTTATTCGGATTTCACTAGTTCTGCTTAATGTCCTTTTTTTCTGTCCCAGGATCTCCTCCAGGATACCTTATTACATTTAGTTGTCATGTCTCCTTAGACTCCTGGGGGCTGTGACAATTTCTTGGACATTCTTTGTTTTCAGTGACCTTGATAGTTTTGAGGACTGGTCAGATATTTTGTAGACTGTGCTTCAGTTGGGATCTGTTTTCCTCATAGTCAGACTGTGGTTATGGTTTTTGGGAGGAAGACCACAGAAGTGAAGTGTCATTCTCTCTTCACATATATCAAGGGTACATACTGTCAACAGGCCTTGCCACTGATAATGTTAATCTCAGTTACTCAGCTAAGGCAGCCTTTGCCAGGTTTTTCCCCCTGTAAAGTTACTTTCCTCCCTCTTCATGCTGTACTCTTTGGAAGCAAGTCACTCAGTGTAGTCCACACTTAAGGGGTAGGGCAGAGTATTATTTGGAATTCTCCATGGGAAATTTGTCTCCCCCTCCCCCTCATTTATTCAGTCACCTAATTATATCTGAAGGAACTCATGGGTTTTTTAAAATTTTTTTTTATTCTTTGGGCTATAATCCAGCACTACATTATTTCATTGCTCAAATCCTTCCAGCTTTGGCCGTAGGGAGCTCTTTCAGTTGGCTCCCGTATCCCTTTGACATAACCTCATTGTTTTGTTTTTTGAGTGCTTTACTTTCTGGGATATTATAAGATGCTCCAGGTTCATCTTGTATATTCTCTGCTTTAGTCCTAGAATTAACTGTTTCTCCATTAAAATGGATGCAGACCGTGGTGAGAGCTATTCAGATACTGTTTTCAAACTAACTATAGGGACACAACAGTTTCTTTCCCTTTTCTCTGAAGCTCCAAAGGTCTGAGTTGGTAAAGTACATATATGGATCCATAGAAATAGAAAACACCAAAGAAAGTCTGTTGACTTCCGCCTCAGGTGGGGTAATACATGTGTTCACCTAACAAAAATCATTCTGGTATTTAATAGCTTTGAGATTCATTTTCTAGTTTTTCCCAGTTTGTTGTTCCTTACACCCAAGGATTTTCATAACAAATCTTGAGGCTATACTTCAGGCTTCATGAAGAGTCTTGCCATGAAACATTGGTCCAGTTGCAACTGAAGTTTTAAGGAGCTATATGCCCAGGACAGTGATGGGTGCTAGCAAAGGGGTAGAATCCACTGTGGATTAAATGCTAAGTAGTGTGGCAGAGTTTATAAATGCTGTTGGATCCTCAGAAAGAGTTTGAAGACAGCTTCCCTGTAGAAGGGAGTTCTTATAGATGAGGCAGATTATAGAGAAGGAAGGCCTCAAGGAACAAAGACACAGGAGGAGGAAGGAACAGAATGAGCTCATGAGACAGTGAATGGCTTTAAGGAGAATGACATTTCCCCTTGTTTACACAGATAAAGCAGTCAGTATTAAACTTGCCAAGGAGTCATAGTAACGCAGGTGTGAATTCAACACTTTCCTTCCTCCCATAAATGTTTTCTAAGTGCCCAAAATGTGTCAGGCACCATGCTAGATGCTTTGCAATTGTTTGTATCAGTCTTTCCTGACGGAAACAATGGAGAAAGAGAGACAGGGCTCTTGCCCTCCATTAGTTTACAGCAGAGCAACGCAACAGTGCTAATATTTGGTTTTCTTATTTACAAGGAATGGGGGCAGTATTTTTTCCTTTATGTATCTTTTATATTATTGCTTAAGCTTATTGTTATAAGCTTATATTTTTCAAAAAAGGAAAAGAGAATAAAAATACTTCATGAACAGTAAGTCATGTTTCTGTACCTCTCTCACCTTTATCTTGTGGCCTGACCAGAGCAAAGGCACAGGGCTGAGGGGAAACATTCTAGCATCACTGCCAGAAATCAGTTCTATATATTCCTGTTGGCCAGTGCAATAAGAAAAGAAAAAAAGAAAAGGCAAGCAGATTTGAAAGGAAGAAGTAAAACTCTTTCTTAGCTGATGGCATAAAAAATCCTAAGAAATCCAGCAAAAAAGCTACTAGAAATAGTAGATTTAGTGAGGTCACAGGACACAAAGTCAATATAAAAAAATCAATTGTATTTGTATATAGTAGCAATGAACAGTAAAAAAATCTAAATTATCAAAACATACCACTACAATTAGCATAAAAATGTGAAGTATTTAGGGTTAAATGAATCTGTGCAATATGAATGAATATGTGCAAGATTTATACACTCTTACTATGGAAAGTAAGAGATTAATGAAAACAAATAAATGGTGAAATAAACCATTTTCATAAATAGGGAAACTCAATAGTGTTAACACGTAGATTCTTCCTAAACTGATGTATAGATTCAGTGTAATTCCAATAAAAAAATCCCAGTTAGAAATTTTTAGAAATTGGTAAACTGATTTCTAAAATTTACATGGAAATACAAAGGACCTAGAATAGATAAAACAATTTTGAAAAAGAACAAAGTTGGAGGATGTAAACTGATTTCAAGACTTACCATAAGATATAGTAATCAGACAGTGAGATATTGATGGAAAGATAGACACTGTAGATCACTTCAACAGAAAGAGAGTCTGTGAATAGACCAGCAACTTATTTTTAACAAGGTAATTCAGTGGAGGGAAGGATAGCTTTTTCAACAAATGATGAAGAAATGGATATCCATATGGAAAAACATGATACTTCACACCATACACAAAAATTAACTCCAAATGGGCCATAGACCCAAATATAAGGGTTAAAACAACAAAACACCTAGAAGAAAATAGAGGAGAAAATCTTTGTAACCCTGTGTTAGGCAGATTTCTTAGGGTACCAAATGCACAAAACACTTAAAAAACTGATAAATTTGACTTTATCAAAATTTAAAACTTTTGTCCTTTAAAAGAATGCCAAAAAACAAGCCATGAACTGGGAGAAAATATTGGTAAAACATATATCTGATGGGGCACCTGGGTGGCTCAGTCGATTAAGTGTCTGATTTTGGTTCAGGTCATGATCTCAGAGTTCTGGGATTGAGCCCTGTGTCAGGCTCCATGCTCAGCTGGAAGTCTGCTTGTCCCCTGCCCTCTCCCTCTCCCCACCCCCTGCTCATTCTCTCTCTCTCTCTCTCAAATAAATAATTACTAAAATCTTAAACCCATATATCTGAGAGAGCATTCTTAATATTTCAATAGTGCAACCCCAAAAGACAAAAACCCCATTAAAAATAAGCAAAAGATTTGAACAGAGATTTCATCAAAGAAGACAGACAATGGCAAATAAGTATATAAAAAGATGTTCAACATCATTAAACATTAGGTAAGTGCAGATTAAAAACACACTGAGATAATACTACATACGCATTAGAAAGGCTAAATTAAACAGGCTGAAAATACTGACTTTTGTTCCAGTGGAACAACTGGAATTCTTATCTGTTGCGGGAATGCAAAATGATACAGACACTTTGGGAAATAGTTTTGACAGTTTCTTACATTATTCAGCAAACACTTATCATATAGCCTAGCAGTTCTCCTCTTAGGTATTAATGTAAGAGGAATGGAAACATATGCACATAAAGATTTACATGTGAATGTTTATAGGAGCTTTGTGATCGCTCCAAGTTGGAAACGATCCAGATGTCCTTGAATGGATGAATGTGGTACATCCATAGAGTGGAACACTACTTAGCAACAGAAAGGAACAAATTGCTAATGCAACATGGATGAATCTCAAAAGCATTATCTTAAGTGAAAGAAGCCAGACACAAAAGACTACATACTATCTTGTATGATTTCATTTATATGAAATTCTAGAAAAGTCAAAAGTATATCAACAAAAAGCAGACCAGGGGCTGGAGGAGATCAACTTCACAGGGGCTGCACAGGGAACTTTCTGGAGTGATAGAAAGTTCTGTAATTATGATTGGTGGTTAAATTACTCTATGTTTGTCAAAACTCATTGAATCATACACTTAAATTGGGTGAAATCTTATGTCTGAAAATGATATTTCAATAAAGCTGATTTTTATATAGGCAGGGGTGGGGGGAGGGGGGCACTGAGTCATGAAGGAGTGTAATGTAAGTTTTGAAAACTTTGGCAATATCTAAGTGCCCTCAGCTTATTGCTGATTAAAGTGTATGGTTGGGATAATTTTTGAGACTTACTATGGGCCAGGGTTAATTAAGTGTTATGATTGGCATATAGGAACCTAGCAGGCCTTTTATCATGAGCCCTAATTCCACCTCCGTTCTTCTACCATAGATGTTTCTCTTCTAGCGGTGGGGCTTTGAAGTCAGATAGATTCGTATTTGAATCTTGGCTTTGCCACTTACTAGCTCTGTGACATTGGGAAAACTAATGTAAATTCTCTGTGAGTTTTCTATAAATAATGGAACGATTAATATCTCATAGGGCTTTTGTGAATCTGTCATTCCTTGCTTCTCAGTTTTCTTACCCCGATTCAGTTCACAGAACTCATGTTGCTACTTTTTTTTTTTTTTAAGATTTATTTATTTGACAGAGACACAGTGAGAGAGGGAACACAAGCAGGGGGAGTGGGAGAGGGAGAAGCAGGCTTCCTGCTGAGCAGGGAGCCCGAAGCGGGGCTTGATCCCAGGACCCTGGGATCATGACCTGAGCCGAAGGCAGACGCTTAACGACTGAGCCACCCAGGCGCCCCTCATGTTGCTACTTTAACTTAACCTTTCCACCTTACTCCCCTATTCATTCCATCGCCCTGCCCTTCCCCCACCCCACTTTGTGCTGCCACGCCCCTCTTTCTGTGTCCAGTCATGAA